GAAGGAAGGAAGGAAGGAAGGAAGGAAGGTAGGAAGGAAGGAAGGAAGGAGGCTGAGCATAGCGATGGACGGGTGGATTTCCTTCTCCCTTCTCAGGTCCTTACCAGTCTGTCCCCGGCTCATCGATCACCAGCAGTACTTTGCTGCGTCCCGAGGACGTTGCAGAGCCGGCCACCCCTCCGACTTGCTCGCTGAAGGTGGCTGCTGCCGCCGCGGTCGTCTGCTTCACTGCGTTGGAGAGCGACGAGAAAAAACCCCCGGCTCCGCCGCCGCCTCCGCCGCCGCCTCCTGCTCCAGGGCTGGGGGCAGCCGGTGGCCTTTCAGCTGGGGAGATGCTGCCCGGCGACGGAGAGGTGGCGCTGGGCGGCGGCGGCGGCGGCTGAGGGCGCTGAAGGTCCGTCATGTAGCCGTTGGGCAGGTTGGCCATGAAGTTGCTGTCAGAGAGTCGCCTGCGCAGGTAATTCATCTTGACGAGAGGGTTGAGGTCTCGAGGGTTGAGAGGGTCCCACAGATGGGGGTCGCTATATTGGGGTAGCGCTCGAGGGAAAGAGGAGGGGTTCTTCCTCGGGGAAGTCACTGGAGGGGATTCCAACAACCTCCACCAGAAGCCCCCTTCGAGAAAAGGCTTGCCAAGTTGCCCTAGAAAGAGGAGCCGCCGAAAAGGCGATCCAGTCAGCCAGCCTTGGGAGGGGGTCTTTGGGGGCGGGGGTGGGGGCTTCTGTCGCCGGGGCGAAGTTTCTAGTACTGATTTCCCGGGAGGAGCTCGTTCTGGGAATGGAAAGGAGATCGCCAGGGATCTGTTTCAAAGGAGGAGGACTATTCGCTCTGAAGGGGATGGCGTTCGCAGAAGGGATCTCTCTAACTAGCTTCCTTAAGAGCGCCTGTTCTTCTCCCCTCCTGGCAGATTCTGCTCAGTAGGAGCGCTTGCCTCCTGCGGGGAGGGATTCCTTCTGCTCCTGCGCTTTGGAGAGAAGGAGTGGGGGGTATTTATAGGAGAAAAAGCCAGCCCGACACGGCTCCTCGCAAGTCCTAGAGCCTTCTGCAGCTCTCAGCAACCACCCTTACCTAGTTAATTGGGACCGCCTCTGGACCCTCTTGGCGGCAGTGGGAGCAACCTTTCGTCTGCAAAGCCAATGTAGGGATGCACCATTAACCAGTAAGATCAGGGGAAAAACTCAACATTTATCTCCCATCCCCCCTCCCCAGCAGGTGAGAATGGTATAGCCTGGTACCCAACAGCAGAGATGCAGAATACAGGGAGAGTTGGTGATGCTTATGATGCTGTGTTCTCCCGTGGAGATGGTGATGGTGGTGCCAGTGCCCGTAATGCTGATGCTGTCATCATGGTGCCAGTGTCCATGATGTCATGAGACCAATTGGAAACCTGCTCCAAAGCTGCTTTGTATTTCACAGGAAAGGATGGATCGAGTGCACTGTAGTGTGCAAATCTCAAAATCAGGTGCAACTCTGACTCAGAGAGGAAGCATCTTCAGGAGCATCAACAGCTTTGACTTCATCCCTACCAGCGTCAGAGGCCCAAGGAACAGACTACCAAAACACCAAGATCCTAACAAATGAAGTCTGGTTATAAGACTTTTACCTAGAAAACTGAAAAAAGAACATCATGGATCTCAGTAATAAATAGAAACATTGGTGGTCTTGTTCCATGTCCATTATTTATGTATTTGTATAGCACAATTATAGAGAGCCAGTTTGGCGTAATGCTTCAGGCACCAGGCTAGAAACCGGGAGACCGGGAGTTCTAGTCCCACTTAGGCCCAAAGCCAGCTGGGTGACCTTGGGCCAGTCACTTTCTCTCAGCCCTAGGAAGGAAGCAATGGCAAACTACTTCTGAAAACCCTTGCCAAGTAAACTGCAGGGACTTGTCCAGGCAGTCTCTGAGAATCGGACATGATTAAATGGGGGGGGGGGGAAGCACAATTAGCATACAACAAGATGGTTTACAAAACAGCATGAACAAAAAGGAAGAGTTTCTTCTTTTGATCTTTCAAGTTTCAAGATGGTGCAGATATATGCATTAGACAGCTGCGATTGCCAGAAACTTTCCAAAATGGACCCAGGCAGAAAAGATGGACAAAGTAGGAATAAGGATTCATCATTGACACTATAGACCAAGAGAAAGTATAAGAGCTGGGCTATACCCACAATATAAGACAGAAGACAACGTCTGCGGTGTAGAAGTTGACATATGCCTAGTTATGCCTAGTTGCATAACTATATGCCTTCTCTTTCCTCATAAACTGGAGCTTTAAAAAAAAAACTCTCAAGATGTACTGCTCTTTTTCACATAAAAATGATTTAAATAACATACACAGCAGCAACAGAAAGTAATTCACTACTGCTTCCAGCATTTTTATTGTGGTTTAAGGGGTAGGCAGAAGAAAGATCTTTGACTGATTTGCAATAGGTCAGAAGGTGTGGCTCTATTCAACTTGTTTGGCAATGCAACATCTTAAAATTATTTAAAACAAGTCAGGCTGCTGAAGTTAAGATAACCTGAGAGAAAACTAGGATGTGACTTTTTAGTTGAAGAGAGAGAACTCACTTTTGGGGTTGGAAACAAATCACTGAGCTAATTGTCATATTCTTTATTCGCTTTGCCACCAAATCATTATGGTGCACTTGGCTTTAGTGAGTAGACCTTCAGATACCAATTAAAAACAAAAACAGATCCCTGAAGCCTGATGTCTCTCCACTGCAGATTTAAAATATTATAAAGCTTTTTAAAGCTGGTTTCTTATCATCATCACAAATATATTTGATCAATTAGCAGGACAATAAGAGTTGGACAGCAAAATTTCATTACAGTAATACAGCATAACCTGATTTAAAACTATATGTAAAATTCTAATGACACAATATGTAACATAACTCAACCTGGGCATAACATTTATTCTTTGTTAAAGCATATCTAATTCTGCAGTAATTTATTTGCATGCTTTAATAGTTGCAATGCAAAATTTAGCTGAATAATATGTGACATTAGGTTTATTGTTTCAGTAACCTTTATATCTCTCAAAAGAGTGGGCATTTTATTATCCTTACTTTTCCTATTTTTATAATTTCACCCAAGTTTCAAGAAATGTATTGATCCATTGTGGTTGTCTCCATATTGCTGGTAAGGAGATTTAAAACTGAAGCAGACAGCCATCCAATATCTGTAAAATATTATTATCACAGATTGAACATGGCAGAGATTTCACTAAAAAGCAGAGGAACACACTTGAAATAGTAAGCCAAGCCAGAAACTGCAAATAAAATAAACTTCCCCACTTCTGACATTATCTCTCTCTCTCTCTCTCTCTCTCTCTCTCTCTCTCTCTCTCTCCCACACACACACACACACACACACACACACACACATGGACACACACACATATGGACACACACACAATGCTATAGGCTTTCATTTGATTCGTAAAGCTGTATTATAACATTTTACAATAACGGCACAGCAATTGAGGCAGTTGGCCAAGATACAGGATTGTTGAGGTACTGTCCATGGTGCTGAAAATATTGGCATCTTGTCCATTAATTAATTCTTTCTTAATTCTCTGTGCTTCAGAAGTGGGAAATCTGTGATTCTCACAATGTTCTGAATTCAACTCCCAGCAGACCTAAGCAATACATCCGATGATGAGGGACACTGGGAATGGTAAGTTGGCAATACGTGATGGGGCTACAGATTGACTACCTTGTTCTAATATGCTCTTTCTAGCTTTCCAAATATCACCTGATAAGGTAGCTAGACAGATCAAGAAACAAATTGCTATTTATGTCTTCATTCAAAATTAATAACTATGAACCTTTTAAAGTCTGTATTAATTCCTAATTTTTTTTCTTCCTAATGTTTTCCTGCAGGTTCAGGGTCCGCCTTTTTTTTTTTTTTAATCTACTGAATGTTGATCCATTGGTTGTGACAGGAATTTACTGACCAGCTTGTCACCCAAGTTCAACGTCGTGGGCTGAGAGAGAGTGACTGGCCCAAAGTCACCCAGCTGGCTTTCATGCCTAAGACAGGACTAGAACTCACAGTCTCCAGCTTTCTAGCCTGGTGCGTTCACCTCTAGACCAAACTGGCTCTCCTAATAATGATGTTTATATAGTGAAAGGAATGTATCCAGACAAAAGGAATGCATTAGATTGAAATTTATACTCTGCAAATTCAGAATGTTAGTTGTTGCAAAAGGACAGGTTAAAAACCTAGTAAGTAGGCTCCTCCTTGAACCAAGATCTCATGTCTGCAAATTTCTGATTGCTACTTTTTTATAATACATGAAGTGTGAGAGAAAATGGGAGTGTTGGTTGTTCTGGCTCCATCTGAATTCATATAGGACATGTAGGTATGGGTAATATCAGAGTCTATGAAGCTATTCAGTCTATGTCATCATCAAAAACATTAGCTATGAGGAAAGTGATGGTGATGATGTGGGCCAGATTTCATGAGAAATACCTATACATTGTTCTAGTCAAGACAGTTTTTATCTCATTTTCAGCATTTGCCCTTAGGCTCCCATATCAATTCAGAAGAATTATTCTCTGCAGGCTGCTTGCTACTTATTAAGTGATCTATAAGCTGCTTGGAGGTTATGAAGATGGAGTTCCATACTCCCCAAATTAAAGGTGCATTCACACCAACTTCTATCCCAGGTTACAGCCTGGGAACAACTCATGCTTCTTACACCAGATTCGGAAAAGAGTCTCCAATCATTGCTCTTTTTGGGGTGGCTTGCAAAATGACCATATAGAGATCATTGTTGGCAAGTTGGGGGGGGGGGAGTCCTTTAGTAAAAACAATAATTCAGTGTTATATTCATGGCAGTGAATCTGATAGGACCTTTTCAAAAAGCCCAAAGTTTAAAAAGCTGAAGCCCTGAAGAATCTGAACCTGCTGTGGTTTTGTATTTTTAAAAAATGGATGTTGACAGTCAATTCAATCGCCTCGCCCACAGGCCTTGTGGGAATAGTTTCCTGCTCTCGCATTGTCTCCTCCCTACTTACTAAGTGGTAATTACACGTCTCAATTCCAGACCTGCCAGGAGTTCTTTAGGTGTTAATAACACCCTCAGCTGGTTGCGTGTCTGCCAGCCATGGCTGCATTTTAAATTACACCTCGTCATGCTGTTACAGTCTCACTGAACTGATTGGGTTCCTGTAAGGGGGAGGGGGCAGGAAGAGCAGGGAGTTCCTATAGGTATGTGCAGGTATCACAATTCACATTTTTTACAGTGCAGTGTCTGTGATGTGTTGTGTGGAGGTGTCTGTGTGACTTAATTAACATGGAGAGTTTCATACAAAACATCTTGTACGAAACTGTCCATGTTTATTAAGTCACACAGACACATCAGCACGACAGTTAGCAGAACTGTTCCAGGATATGGGAGAAATGGGCCCGTGTAGAGATCTGCTTTAGTTCTGCATTCTGCATTCTGCATTCTGCATTCTGCATTTGATTTGATTTGATTTGATTTGATTTGA